TTGTATGGACAGATGGTGGTGATGGTTGCACAATATGAATGTCCTTAATGCCACTGAACTAAACACTTAAAAATGTTAAAATGGTAGATTTTATGTCTATTTTTCCACAATACACAAATTTCATAAAGTTACTATTAAATCAGTTCATCTGATGTCCTATTAGAATGGATGGGTCTGCATAGCTGGTTGGAGGAGCTGAGGGTGGGCGGTTTCTCTTGCAGGCTATGACCTAGGGCGGTTTCTCTTGCAGGCTATGACCTAGTGCAGTTTACAGTAACCCTGTTATCCTCGAGGGATGCGTCTCCAGACCCCCAGTGCATGCCTGAAACCACAGATAGTACCGAACTTTATCTATACTATGTTTTTCCCTATGCGTATATACCTATGACAGAGTTTAATTTGTAAATTAGGTACAGCAAGAGATGAACAATAAGTAATAATAAAATAGAACAATTATAACAATATACCACGATTAAAGGTTATGGGAATGTGCATTATAAGTAAAGTAGGGGTTACTTGAACACAGGCCCTGCAACACCTCACGGCAGTGGATCTGACAGCCAGACGGCTACACGTCACTGTAAGCAGGGGCATGTGCAGCGAGGAACGCTGGGCACAGGCATGAGCCACATCCCGGCAGGCGAGATCTTATCATGCTACTCCAAACAGCTCGCAATTTAGAACGTATGAATTGTTTTCTTCTGAAATTTTCCATGTTAGACTTTCAGTTTTACCACACGTGGCCACGGATAACTGAGACCACGGAAAGCGAAACTGGATAAGGGGACCACTGCGTCTGCCTCACTAGTCAGGGGACCTTTGTCAAGATGTGGCTGCCGCTTCAAGTCTCAGCGCCCCATCTCAGGCTGGCTGTCGGCAGAGTTGTCTTTGATTTGTTTGGCCTCACTATTTGTCTATTTGTTCGGTTGTTCGTTTATTCCCCTTGACAACTGAAAGGAGTGGGTTCCGCCGGGGCTTTTCCCAGCAGGGCTCCTCTGAAGGTTAAAGCAGAGTTTTGAAATCTGCACTGCCCACTTGTCCTGGATCTATAACAAATGGCATTCAATATTCACTGTGCCGGGCACCATGAAACCCAAGGTAGACATGCATTGTCTGACCTCCAGGCCCTCACAGACTGAAGGGCAACAGGTACATACAGGTAAGTGTCGGAAAGTATGATAGATTCCAGGTAGCAAAGGAGTCTAACCCCGTACAAAGTATCTACACCTGCGACAGGACCCGCTTGCACTTGGTTAAAATCCTTTCACTAAGAAACACGCCTTCTTTTTGGTCAGTAGAAATGAGATGAGATTTAAATTTAAAATGAGAGCACTGCTGGAACACGGAACACGTTTACTTGAGTGTCTCTGAAGTGGAAATGATGGTGTTGGAATCTTTCCTACAACTAGACTTTTAAAAAGCAGAGAAAGAAAGCAGGACAATTCCTAATTTATGCGCCATCATTTGAAGCTGGAGTCAGCAAACCTTTTCTGTAAAAAGCCACATCATAAATATTTTAGACTTTGCAGGTCATAGCCAAAGACCCGACGTAAACAGATGAGCATGGCTGTATCCCAATAAAACTTCATTTGTGAACAGTGGAACTTGAATGTAATAAAATTTTATTTTCACAGGTCATAAAATGTTGCTCTTCTTTTTAATTTTTTCCAGTCATTTGCAAATGTGAGAACCACGCTCACTCTGGGAAACGCAGGCAGAGGCCGAGGGTGGCCCACGCTGTCGTCTGCAAGCCCTGCGGTCCAGGCCGTGGGGACAGTCCAGCAGCAGCGCCCAGGGCTTGTTAGACACACAGAGCTCAAGCCCCACCCTCGTCGGCGGAAGGAGAGCCTGCATCTTAAGAACATCATCTCGCGTTTGATCTGCACATCTCAGTTTGAGGACTGGCTTATGGTCTACACAGACTGATAAAATACAACTTCCCAGAAAAGCAGCCCCGGGGAAAGTTCTGAGCTTCTCCGTGCCTCAGTTTCCCCGTGTGCAAGATGGAGATGACGGCACTGTCTCCCTCGGCATGGTTGTGAGACTTACACACACACACACACACACACACAGGCACACACGAGCTGAAATAGTATCTGTCGTTATTCAAAAGCTCGCACTATGTTACTTTCAGAGCTACCCTCTGGGACAGGCACTGTTCACCCCATTTCACAGAAGAAACTGTGGCCCAGAAAATTGAAGTCACAGAACAAAGGTCTTTCTGTCCCGAAATTTAGTGCTGAGGGTAACGGAGGGCTCACGGGTACAAAAGGGGACATAGTCCCCGGGCGCCAGGTCTTCGTGTCCACTCTCCCTTCCAACGGCTCACTCTCAGTGGCCCCTCTCAGCCCGTGCTCCTGAGACACCCCACTCCCCAGGGCACAGCTCCCCACTCCGCCACACAGGGACCTCCCTGCGTCTGTACCCAAAGCTCCTCGTTCGTCCTTTGAAATGTATCTTCCACTGACTTGTTAGTGTTCTTTACCACTTCTCTTTCTGGCTACAGGCGGTCAGTGTTCCCTGCCTGAGCTTGTAGTGGCTGTCTTTTATTATATCTGTAGGGCTCAGGGGGAAAAAAAGGCAATTCCTTTATTTGAGACTCCTGACATTTATTATCATACTAAAATTCTCAAGATGAAATTGCAGTTTTCCAGAATGTAATTCTATTTGCAGGACAACGTACAAGAAATTTATTTTAGGGACAGGTAAAACCTAAAATATATGAGAATGCAGTAAGTGCAGACCCCAAGTAAAATGAAACCAAGGTGTTAGGCACGGACAACTTGGCTACTGTCTCTCACATATTAATTAGGGTGACAGAGCCACGGGTTCTCAACCCAGCTTGGTCTGCTTTCCAAGCTGCTGCTCTTTCTTGGAATTAAAACTCCCTTCTAACACCTGAAAAATCAGCACATCCTATCCCCTGGCCACCTCACTGCTGAGCACGAAATAGTTGTCGCTGCTGTAGTGTTGCAATTAGCAATACTTCTCACTTGGACAGAGATTCCAAGAAGCTCATCATTGAACTGATCTGCCAAAAACCTTAGCGATGGCCACACAGAACTTCCTCTTCTCCATTCTACCGAGCATTCGTGTGACTTGAACAGTCAGACGGTGGGTAGGTAATGTAACCAAAGCTAAAATTTGGCTCCTTTGAGTCCATAGAAAGGAGGTAATTTTAATAATATCAGCTACGGTTTTAAAGCACTTTGGAGTTTAGAAAGCAAGCCCTCCATCCCTGCACTCTATCCATTCAGGGGCCTGTGAGACAGGCGGATAGGAGGGAAGCCGTGGAGGTAGGGTACAAGTGGTGTTATTAAACACATTTGGGTGATGAGCCCTTCCCCACTCCCCCACCAGGGGGGCAGAGCCTATGGTAAGTGCTTACCTGCTTCTACTTGACACAGGAGTGCAATCCCAGGGGAGCAGGAGGAAGAGAAAGGGGAGTGAGGCAGCGAAGGAGGAAGAACAGACAGGAGGGCGGAGCGCTGATCTGACCACCACTTGGCTTCTCTAGGACGAGTTGCTGATTGTGCAGGACTGTTTGAAAAGTCCCTCCAGGAAGAGAAAGAGGGAAAATTGACTTATCAGCCACTGTCTCCCATTGATAAAGGTTCACCGCATGGAGAGCTCACTTCCCAGCCCTTCTTGGCTGCATGGTGTCTCCTTCCTCTGCAGCAACAGCAGACAAGAGGCCCAGGGCACTGCACAGGGCAAGGTGCTGCTGGCATATGCTCACATGCAGCTGACAGACACAGTGGGGAGAGCAGAGCCCGTGCAACATTGGCTACCACGGTGGAGCCTGGGGTGAAACAAGAGGTCAAGGATGTGAGGAACAGATGAGGCAAGAGGTGAAGTAGAGCATGAGGGATGTTTGACACCTGTCAAGTAAGGTAAACAAGGTCATTGACATCCACAGAGTCCATTCATCTTACTCTCACTAAACACAATGCCGTGTCTGTGTATATGTCCTCAAGTGTGAAACGTGAATGTGCACACACAGACCCCATCCCTCAGGGCAGTTGAGACGTTATTGGGAGAGTCTTCTTCTTAGTGGGAAGAACATCCTATCTAATAAAGAGGAAATATGCTAATGGACTGCCTCAAATATGGTGGTGCCCACAGCCACAAAATGGTGGCACCCAGTGCTCTCAGCCCCACCAGGGCAGCAGGCATGTGGAAAGGCCAGGCCCACCCCTGCCGCTCACCTGCCTCCGGAGTCCCCCAGTCCCCTCAGCCCCTTAGTCCCCCAGGGCTGGCTCCAGGCACAGGCAAGCCTTGGATGGCAGCTGTCCAGCCGCCCAGGGCCGCCGAGGCTCAGGTAACCAGGGCCAGCCGAGGTTTGCGCTGCCAGCAGTGGCAGCAGCAGAGGTGTGATGGGGGTGTCGCCTTCCCCTGATTGCCGGGTCACCTCCCGCCCCTGAGGGCTCCTGGACTGTGAGAGGGGGCAGGCCAGGCTGAGGGACCCCCTCTCCAGTGCATGAATTTTCATGCACCGGGCCTCTAGTATTTAAAATAAGTGGACAATAGAATCAAAAATAAAGGGACTATGAAGGCAAGGTAATCATTTGAGTAACCTGCAGGAAAGGGCCAAATCCTAGACAGCAAAGGATTTTTCAGATGTCTACAGGCAATTCTTAAATTATACTTCATCCCAGGTTTGGGGCACAGCTATAAGAACATATAACACCATTACCTCCATATTTCAAAACAAGGGCCAAGATGTGGTTTCAGACAGAGGAGGGGAGGCAAGCAGAGGTGAGTAGGGAAGGCGGGGGAGTATCAGTCACCTGCTCTAGAAGCTCAGAAACCTTAGCAATTCCACTGATAATGTCACTGAGGTGATGATGAACATCATTAAAGATGCAGCATCTATGTTTTCCACATAAATCCTTTACAGTGCTTCCTCTATCATCTCCATGACTTTATAAACAGTGACAAGTAGGAAGTCACTGACTAGGAATCAGGGATTAGTGCTGAAAACTTTCAGAAAAAGTACATTCATTCAACAAACGTTTATTGAATGGACACCATATGTTGAATTCAGAGTTCGGCACTGGCATTATTTTGGATTATAAAAACATGATCCATGGGCTCTGGGAGCTGAGTTTAGAGCAGCCACAACAAATAGGCTTCATCTTCTGACAACCTATCCAAACTCATCATGAAAGATCTGCATCAACTAGTAGCCATTTCTGCCCTGGGCAATGGGACAGGGGCCGGCAGCACAATAGGCCATATCTTCCATATCTCTTGAGACATTCTAATCTACTTAATCCTCTGGATGGTGGTGAATCTTCCAGAAGGCCATAGGGATTTGAGCTGAGAAGTTTTTGGGTTCAAAAAAGAATACCTAAAGGAGTCCAGTGGCTAAGGGGAAAACGTCATTCAAACAGCAGATGGTAGTCTGGCGGGCTGTCCCTCTGGCCACAGGGCTCCTGCAGCAGCTCTCCTCCTGAAACAGTGATGATTTCTTCCTTAAAAAAAATAGAAATACTCACTTATAATCAACAAAGAGAAATAAGCATCCACCAGAGAGAAACTAATTCAAGATAGAAAAACTAATAATATGTATCTGCCTCCTCCTCATTCAAATTTCTAAAAATCACAGGGGGGGGAATCTGCTTTTAACAAATAAATAAATGCATAAAAGTATAGGAAAATAAGAAAGGCAATCAACAAATCAAAAATGTTGAGGAGTACTTGAAAACCTAAAGATATACAGGATGAGGTTTTCAGAGGCATTACTGTGGGGCAAGTATCAGTGGACAGGTTGGGGACCCCCAGACCACAGAGGTCTTTGTCTCAGGCAGGGTAGAGAGTAAGGAGAGGTACACAGTTCCTTAGTGGGGCAAAGAGACCCACAAATTTCAAACACTCCCATCTCCAAAAGATGAACTGCTCACTATCAACTCCATCCCTGACAGCATAAAGAGAATGAATTTGGGAAACAGGAACTGTATCCACTGATGGATAAATAAGAAACTCAAAAAATCACCTCCTCGCTCAAAATTTGTAACTATTTAAGGAAAATCATAACCATGAAAGAAAAATGGCAACCTTAACAACAGAACTTTAAGAGTATAAAGATCAAAATGCTTGGGATGAGAAGGATGGGCTCCTAATTACGATTCAGGAAAAGATCAAGTGTATAAAACAAACAGAAAGAACCTTTAAGAGATGTGTGTTAATCTCCTCAGTGGACTCAGAATATAAAGCATCCATGAAACAAGAATGGGCTATTATTCAAAAAGAACCAATTAGAGAATGCCTGGACATGACAAGGATCCACATTTAAATCACAAGGAAAATCTCAACAGAAGAACTGAAGAGCAGAACGGACATAACTACAGAGCAATTTGGTCGCTGGTAGAACCAGCACATCAATAAGAAAGAGACACCTAAGAAGAAAAATGGACAAAGGATCTGAACAGACGATTCACAGTAGAAATCCAAGAGGCCATTAAACATATGAAAACAGCCTCAGCATAAGAGGTAATCAGAGAAATGAAAGTTAAACAGCAGTGAGATCCAGTGTCTGCCCATCTGATGGGGAAGATGTAAATGACTGACAGTCCCAGTGCTGGCAGCCGTGTGAGGACACAGCCTCGTGTAGTTTTGGCAGGAGCATGAGTTGGCGCTACATTTTTGGAAGGCAATCTGGCAGATATTTTCAAATTAAAATGTGCATATCTTCTTCCCAGCAATTCCAATGCGAGATCCATCCTAGAGAAATCACCACACATGTCCCCAAACTGATATATACGAGCCAGTCTCTGCGGCACTGTGTGTGACCATCAAAACCTGGAAGCTCCACCAGTGCTCATCCAAAGGAGGAGGGAGTAATCCTTTCAATAATAAAGAATTTAATTTTGTTTAAAAACAGAAAATTCTCATGATCTGAAAAGGGGGGGAGGGGCGGCTGAATTGTAATATTCATCCATGCCATGGAATACCAAGGGTTTTACAAGGATGTGCATGTGGGTTGGCATGGAGATACCTCAGTGCTCAATGACAGCCAGTGTTCCGATAACTCACAAATGGCAGGTACATCAATCCAGTACTTCACAGTGATGTCTCACTGGAACCTCGCAGCGACCCTAAGAGGTGAGTGCACTGGGCACTGGGCATGGGATCGGTAGCACATAGGCCATATCTTTCACATCTCATGAGACACTTCCATCTTACTCAGAGGGAGACTAAGGCACAAGAGTGTGAGTAGTTGCCCAAAGTCATATACAGTCATAGAGTTGGGGTTTAAAACTTGGCAGCCTGATTCCAGGGTCCATGATTTTACAAAATATATTCTATAATATATTAAGCATGTTTAAAATCAAATTGCTGAGCTATTAGACAAGGATTATCCTATCTAATAAAGATGCTAATTGACCCTCACACCATCACCAAGATGGCAGCACCCACAGCCAATAAGGACAGAATATGCTAATTGACAGCCCTGTCCTCAAAGATGACTGTGCCTACAGCCAATAAGGAGGGAATATGCTAATTGACTGTCATGCCCTCAAATATTGTGGTGCTCACAGCCGCAAGATGGCTGGCAGGTAAGGGCAGTTGTGGGTGATCAGGCCAGCGGGAGCGCGGGGGGCAGTTAGGGGCAACCAGGCCAGCAGGGAAGGGCAGTTGGGGGTGACCAGGCTAGCAGGAGAGGGTAGTTGGGGGTGACCAGTCCAGGAAGAGAGGGCAAGGATCTGGCCTAAACCAGCAGTCAGACATCCCCCAAGGGATCCTAGATTGGAGAGGGTGCAGGCTGGGCTGAGGGACAAACCTCCCCACCCCCCTAATCCATGAATTTTGTGCATTGGCCCTCTAGTCCAGTTTATAAAAAATAAAAAATAAAAAAACTGTGTATGTCCTTTTATACATACACTAGAGGCCCGGTGCACAAAAATTTGTGCACTCTCACAGTCTGGGACCCCTCGGGGAATGACCACTTGCTGGCTTAGGCCTGCTCCCCGGGGGTTTGAGCCTAAGATAGCAATCAGACATCCCTCTGGCAGCCCAGCAGCCCTTGGGGGATGTCCACTTTCCAGCTGGGAGCAGCCCTAAGCTGCAGTCGGACTCCTTAGCGCTGCTGAGGAGGCGGGAGAGGCTCCCACCACCACCACTGTACTGGCAGCCATCAGCCTGGCTTGTGGCTGAGCAGAGCTCCCCCTTGAGGAGCA